ATACCCCTATGGGTTCCTTTGAAGAAACCCAAATTATCTCAAGCTCATTTAAAAATTGGCACGTTTGGGAAGATTCTGAGAATTAAAAGTTCTATAGATCATCTATACATGTGTCTGTGGATTTTGATAATCAGAACCCCCACCTCTTTAGGCAAGCAAGGTGCTAGGGTCCTGGCCTCAACTCCCTGCACAATACACCTCCCGAACTCCTCCAAACAAAGGCAGTGGGAAAGTAGTAAAAACTGGGAAAGTTAGGGGCTTGGAATAGTGGGGATCCTTATACTGATCCCCCTGATTTAGTATTAGCCTCTTCTAAGCTGCCTGCCTCATAGGAGATGATCTCTTTAAAAATTAAAATCTTGCAAGAGTTCAAGTTGATTAACAACATTTTCTCCTTGTAGCAGCTCTCCTTGATCTCTGTAATACATGCAAAGTTCTCTTTCCCACTAAGCAGGCCTTTACTTCCACAGACCCTCTGATCAGACTTGCAGTAGGAGATAAGGTTTTAGAAGAGATGGGAACAGCTGCAAGATAATCTCTTCTTGTTGTCATTGAGGTGCAAAGATGAAGCTAAACAAGAAAGATGGGTCAATTGATGCCATTGTGAACTAGACTAAAATTGTAAGTGAAATATCCTATCTTTACTGTAATTTCCTAAAGTAGAGTATGGAGGGTCAGCTAGGTGGTGCAATGGCTAGAGCAGTGGTCCTGAAGTCAGGAGGACCTGAGTTCAAATGTGACCTCACACTAAACCCTTGACACTAGCCGTGTGAACCTGGGCAAGTCACTTCACCCCAATTCCTTAAGAAAAATCAGGCTATGAATGTTTTTGTAAATGCTGAAAATCTTTGTGGATTTATATTTCATTTATTTGGGGGAGGATGTTAGCAGCTTCCTAGAACTATTACTACATACAAATAACACATAAGACCTTTTTTTAAAAAATCATTCTTTCCCTTGGAAGGGCATAGATTAATTGTTCCTCTCGAAGGTGATTTCATTTCCTAGAAAACGATGAAAGCAAAGAAAGCAAACAATTTGCAGTCTGCATTCTGTAGGCCTTCTCAAGCAATACCTTACCTCTGTTTTCTTCTGTGAATGATTTAACAGAACTTAATTATTTAGGTAAATTCGAGGCAGAGTCACCTAGAAGAAATTGAAATAGACTGTGCAACTCCAAACATGAAAGAGAAGAAAATCCGTAAAGGAGAGATTCAGTGCAGTGTTAGACTTGGGTGTGAGTGGGAGCTAAAGAGGAGATGGAAATAAAGAAAATCATGGGGCGAAGGGTAGGATTCAAAGAGAGTGTAGCAGCGAAAGAGCAGTTTTGAAATCTGCAGCCATTTAGCTGAGGACCACTGGGAGGTAAACCGAGAGGAGATTTAAGCAAACAGGGGTGAGGAGAATGGGTGGTGAGTGCATTGGCAGCGACTGAGTGAATGGAGGGTTTGAAAGGAAGGGGTTGGCGTTATTAAAGGGAGGTTTGAGCTTTTGGTTTGTTTGGTTTTTTATATATAAAATTTAGCTAAGCCTGTAAATATGTAAATGGAAAGGTCATGTAGGTGGTACAGTGGATAGAGCACTGCCCTGGAATCAGGAGGACCTGAGTTCAAATCCAGCCTCAGACACTTAGCACTGATTGCCTCCCACAAAAAATTTGTGGACACCAGTTGGAGAAATGCCTGTGTTGACAATATTGTATTATATCACTATTTTACCAAATGGAAACTACAGCAACAAATTTGCAGCATGGAATTATTTGACTATAGTATACCAAATTATGTCTTGGAAGACCATTGGAAAGGTGTGTTCCAATCTTTATGTGGAGGATATGTAGTCGTAATATCATTATGTTAACAATTTCTGTCTCTTAGAAGAGCCTCATGGTCCCCAAAATAGGGGGAAGAAAAAGTGAGACTGCCCCCATAAATCTTGAAAGCTGTGAGCCTTCTCATTGAGGGTCTGGTAGCTAATGGCCTTTGGGAAATTTGAGATTTGGATGATACCGTTTGTAATTGTAATCCAGATTTGATTGAGTTTGTCCTAAAACTAGATTATAATGTGGTCTCATGTAAAGTGAAATGTGTTCTCCCACCAGGATAATTGTGATGTTTGATCCTCTATAGGTAGATCACATCTCAATGCAAAATATACCAAATATTTGGCATTAAGGTGATGTGCTCAGAAAAATAATGAATAAGAATTAAAAGTGTAATGACTTCAGAATTATTCTATGCTAATTTTAATCCAGTTATGAGAGATGATAAATTGATAAATGGATGAAGTGATTTTTGTATTCTAAGATGATTCAGAAATGCATGTAATTGAATTGATATTTGACTGGTATGTTTCTAAAATCAGAAAAACTCTTTATGGTATCTTTAGGCCTTGATTTTTTTTTTATATTCCGAGTTTGGGGAAATCATTGTAAAAGAAATGTCATGAATTTGAAAAATGATACCCAGAGCGGCATTTAATTATATTGTAATAAAATCATCTCTTTTAATATGGATACTGTTAGACTATAAATTATGCTATTAAAGAATGTGACCAGGTGGAATTTATGCCACTAAGGTCGGGCTTGCTCAATATTAGAGAAAATATCAGCATAATTGTGCATCATAATAGCAAACACAGTAAAAATCTTATGATTAGCTCAGTAGATGCAGAAAAAGGTTTTTGACAAAATGCAATGCTTATTTCTATTAAAAACACCAGAAAGCATAGGAAGAAATGGAGCTTTCCTTAAAATAATACGTTGTACCTATCTGAAAGCAAGAGCAAGCATTATTTGTAATGGGTATAAACTAGAAAACTTCCCAATAAGATCAGGAGTGAAGCAAGGATCCCCATTATCAGAACTATTATACAATATTGCATTAGGACTCCTAGGCATATCAATGAGATAAGCAAAAGCAGTTGGCTAATTCTGAGCCCTGGGTATGAAAGGAGCAGTGAATAATACAGAACGTTGCTGCATGATTGACTAGTCCAAAATAAAGATGAACTCTGACTCTTAACTGGGATCAAACAAAGCTAAAGAGGCTATATCCTGTGATGCTTATGTCGGATTGGTCTGTGCCCTTGAAAGGACAGCCTCCACTTTGTTATAACCATTCCCTCCCTCTTCTCTTCATTGCAGATTTCTATAACCAGGACAAGGGAATTGTAAAGGGTTTTTGTTTGTTTTTTAATGATAAATGTTGTTGCAATACTCAAACATGTCTAAGTTTCTATAATAGGATGCAAATATAAAGGAGCTTAATGTTTTTAAGTTTCCTATTTGTAGTTTGTGGTCACTAATTATGTGCTAACCCAAGCAACTAGGTTTCAGACATCCCCTTGTTAATGATTAAGCATTCATGTGTAGGATCAAGTCTGCACAATGCCACCTCTTTTCTGGATAATGTGATGTGATGTAGATTTGTGTGTGTGTCTGTGTGTATGTAGCATTCTCACAGGAGGGATAGTTTCAAATATGTGATTTAATAAAGACAAAAAATTTAACTTCCAAAATTTATGCCAAAGTTTTAAATAATAGTAAAATTTGATTTGAGAAAAAATCAAGATTACACTGTTTTCTCTAAACATTAGGATCTATATCTATATCTATATCTATATCTATATCTATATCTATATAAACACATATACATGTGGGGAACCTGAGGCCTTGAGGCCACATGTGGCCCTTCTAGGTCCTCAGGTGTGGCCCTTTGACTGAGTCCAGGTTTTCCAGAGCAAATGCTTTTATGAAGGGAATTCCCAAACTGTGAAGTTTGGACTCAGTCAAAGGGCTGTACTTGAGGACCTAGAGGGCTGCATGTGGCCTCAAGGCTGCAGGTTCCCCACTCCAGGGAAATAATGAAAAATAATGAAAAAAATAGGAATTTGGGGGCAGCTAGGTGGCACAGTGTATAGAGCACCCTCCCTGGATTCAGAAGGACCTGAGTTCAAATACGACCTCAGACACATAACACTTAACTAGCTGTGTGACCTTGGGCAGGTCACTTAACCCCATTGCCTAGCCAAAAAAAAAAAAAGATAGGAATTTAGAGGGCATGGTATTTCAGACCTCCAATTGCATAAACAGATAAATGGAACAGAGGTAGAATCAGAAATGATTGAACTTGACCCAGTGTTTATTAAATTCTAACCCATCAATTACCTAGGCTCCATGTTTCCTATTTAATTGTGGTCCCAGTGGGAGGTCCAGGCCATCAGAGCTGTTCTTCAGAGGAGCTGGGATCACTGACTCAGCCCTCAGGGCTGCACGCAGGTGAGATCACAGGCTCAGCTCTAGAAAGAGCATGAAGCTAGGCCATGCAACTCCAGCATCATTCTCTCCAAAGGCCAGATCCAGGACTCAACCTCTAGGACTCCGAATGGAATTGAGGCAATAGCCCTCCCCAGAGTGGACTGGACCCACCCCTGAACCCAAAACAGGGATATTCTAGGATGGCGGGTCACTAAACCTGGGGAGTCTTTCAACTAGCTGACAGGGTCTAGGGCCAGCTACTGTGTACTGCTATGGGAATTTTAAAATTTCCTTTTAATCCTCTTGCATCTTTTGATTAATGTTAACCTCCTCTATCCAAAACCTGAACCAGGGGATGTAAAGACTTACTTAAGATCCTTAACCGTTGCTTGGCTGAGAAGCCACAGGAAGGCTCTGCAGTGTCCCTGACTCCTGGGAGACCTGTCAATCCTCCTGCTCAGTCAGCCTATTTGTGAATCCTCTAAATGTATTCTAAGCTATGACCAGACTTGCATTTGAGGCTGCAGGGCCAAGCTTGGCCAGCATAATTAAATGCGCGCCTGGTTTTCTTTGCAGTTAAGCAGTTGGCAGCAATTGTTAGGACCCCGTGCTGCATTCCCTTCCCCCCCACTAACCCCTCCCGAGCCCCAGCTGGGCTCCCAGACGGCCTTTCTTTTCGGGAGGGTTGGGGTTGGGAGAGAGGTCTCTTGTTCATTGTGGGTGCCGTTCCTCTCTCGACCTGTAGGGGGCGATGAAGGGGAAGGGGAGCGGAGGAAGACTCCCCCCTCCTTGAGAGTCCTCAGGCGGAAGCAGGCCCCGCGGAGGAGCCCCGGGGTGAGTCGGCCAGCACGTGCCTCCCTCCCTCCATTGCCGGCCCTCCCCACCCCACCACGGGGCAGGAGGGTTCCTCTGCTGCCCGATCTGGTCGTGGTCGCCGTCGTGGTCGTCGAGGCCAGTGGGTGAGTGGACAGGAGGGGGTCCTCGGGGGTCCGCGTGTGGGGGGGGCGGGGTGGCCCGGGCCTTCTCCCCTGACTCCTTCCTTCAGCAGGAAGCCTGCGTCTGCCCGTCCGGCCGTCCGGCCGTCTGGCCGTTCGTCCTCCCTCGCTGCCCTGTCCCACCATCTGAGTCCCGGCTACCGGTGAGTGCCCCTGTGTCCAGCCCCGCCCAGGGCAGGCGTCCAGGGAAGGCCCAAAGGCCCGGCCCTCCCACCTGGCCCCAGCAGACCCAGGTGCGAGGACCGGCCTCGACCATCTCCCCAGGCCTGACCCCCCAGAGCCCTCCCCCCTCCTTTCTTCCCCTCCTCCTCCCCCTCCTCTTCTACCCTCTCCTCCTCCAAGACTGACCTTGACCTTGATGATTATCCACAGCCCTGACCTCGCAAAAGGTAACGTCTGTTTGAGATTGACCTTGACCATTCTCCCCATGCCTGACAACAGAGAGAGCTTCCTCCTCCTCGTCCTTCTTCTTCCAGAGACTGACATTGACCATGACCTTGATGATTATCTGCAGCCCTGAACTCCCAAGAGGTAACTCCTCTCTTCTCTTCTCCAAGACTGACCCCCAGAAAGCCTCTTCCCCCTCCCCCCGTGATAAACCTTGACCACAACCGTGAAGATTATCCACAGCCCTGAACTCCCAAGAGGTAATTCCTCTCTGAGACTGACCTTGACCATCGTCCCCATGCCTGACCCCCAAAAAGCTCTCTTCTCACAGACTGACCTTGACTTTGTCTAATATCCACAGACCTGAGCTCCCAAGAGGCATCTCGTCTGACAGTGACATCATATTTGTGCAGGACTTAGCCCAGAGTTTGCCACATAGTAAATGATAATGCCTAATAAATGATTATGCTCTTTCCCAAGCTGTTGGAGTGGGGGTGGGGGGTCAGAGGGGTCTGATCTCAGAGACTTGACCTTGCCCATTCTCCCCAGATCTGGGCTCCTAAGAGGTATCTTTTCCCAGAGACTGAGGTTGGCCATTCCCTCCAGGCCCCAGCTCCTGAGAGGCAGCTTCTCCCACAATGAGATAATATTTGTAAAAGGCTTAGCCCAGTGCCTAGCACGTAGGAGGCCCATAATCAATTTTTTTTTTCCTGTCTACAAGCTGTCTCTAGGGGGTCTGATCTCAGAGACTGATCTTGCTTATTCTCCCCGGGACTGAGTTCCCAAAAGGAGTCTCCTGTCACACAGTCCACTGGCCTCAGTCCTCTGTTATCTTGATGTGTGCATCCAGACACTATCCAAGTCTGAGGCACTCCAGCCCCACCTTTTCCCAGACTCTCTCCTTAAGGAAGCCCCATTTGATCTGCAACTTGTGAGTATCTATCTTTCTTTGCCTCCTCTTTGCTAGACCAGTATCTCAAAGGCTTTTCCGCCCAGACTGACCTTGAACACACTTCACAGGCCCAAGCTCCTTTAGAGGCAGTTCTTCTAAGAGACTGACTTTATCCTTAACCATTCTCCCTAGACATGAGCTCCTAAGAGGTATCTTTTCCCAGAGACTGAGTTTGGCCAGAACTCCTGAGAGATGTCTCTTCTAGAATGAAATAATGTTTGTGAAGGGTTTAGCCTCGTGCCTGGCACATAGTATTCCTGTAATAAGTGATTATTCTCTTCCCTAAGCTGTCCATGGGAACAGCTCAGAGACTGACCTTGCACATCCTCTCCAAGACTGTGTTCCCAGAAGGAGTCTTCTATCAGACTGACGGCCATCTTCCCTTTAAACATCTAAAGTTCTGCCAGCAAAGACTCTCCGTAAAAATTTGAAGCCCTCCAGCTCCACCTTCTCCCCTGACTGTGTCCTTGAGAGACCCACATTTGAGAGGTCACCTGTGAGTATCTGTCTTTCCTTGCTTTCTATTCCCCACTGGACCCATATCTCACAGGCTTTTCCTCTCACATCATCATCCCCAGGCCTGAGCCCCTCAGCGGCAGTTCTTCCAAGAGATTGACCTTTACCTTGCCCATTCTCCCCAGATCTGGGCTCCCAAGAGGTACCTCCTCCCAGAGACTGAGATTGGCCATTGCCTCTAGGCCCCAGCTCCTCAGAGGCAGCTTCTCCCACAATGAGATAATATTTGTAAAAGGCTTAGCCCAGTGCCTAGGACGTAGGAGGCCCATAACCAGTTATATTTTTTTCTGTCTACAAGCTGTCTAGGGGGGTCTGATCTCAGAGACTGATCTTCCTCATTCTCCCCAGGACTGAGTTCCCAAAAGGAGTCTTTTATCACACAGGCTCTGGGCATCTGCCTTCTGGCATTCAGAGGTGCGTACACAGAGACTGTGTATCTTTTTTTTCTTGCCTCCTATTTCTTCACTGGACTGACACCTCAAAGGCTTTTCCTCCCAGACTGACCTAGATAGACCATTTTCCCCAGGCCTGAGCTCCTTAGAGGCAACTCCTTTAAGAGACTGACCTTTACCTTGATCATTCTCCCAGACTCGAGCTTCTAAGAGGTATTTCTTTTTTTTCTTTCTTTCTTTTTTTCTTTTTTCTTTCTTTTTTTTTTTTTACTTTTAGGCAATTGGGGTTAAGTGATTTGCCCAGGGTCACACAGCTAGTGCCAAGTATTTGGTCTGGGGTCTGATCTGAACTCAGGTCCTCCTGACTTCAGGGCTGGTGCTCTATCCACTGTGTCACCTAGCTTCCCCTCCCAAGAGGCATTTCTTCCCAGTACAATAATATATGTAAAGAGTTTAGCCCAGTGTGTGTCAAATAACAGACCTGTAATAAATGCCTTTTGTCTTCCTCAGTCAGGCTGATCTCAGAGACTGACCTTGCTCATTCTCTCCAGGCCTAAGCTCCCAAGACATGTCTCCTCCCAGAGGCTGAGGTTGGCCATTCCTTCCAGGCACCAACTCCTCAGAGGTATCTTCTCCCACAATGACATCATATTTGTGAAGGGCTTAGAGCCAGTGCCCGACACATAGTAGACCCACAATTATGATTATTCCCTGGACAAGCTGTCTAGGGGGGCTCCTGTCAGAGGCTGACCTTGTTCATCCTCCCTGGGACTGAATTCCCAGAAGGAGACTCCTACCACACTGGCCCTGGGCATCTGCCCTCAGGTACCCAGAGGTGGACACCTAGAGACTGTCCAGGTCTGAGGCCCTCCAGCCCCACCTTTTCCCCTCTGTATCTCACTGAGAGACCTACATTTGACCTGCCACCTGTGAGTATCTTTCTTCTATTCTTTGCTGGACCAATATTTCAAAAACCTTTCCTCCCAGACTGACCTTGACCTGAGCTCCTTGGAGGCAGCTCCTCTGAGAAATTGACCTTATCCTTGCCCATTCTCCCCAGATCTGAGCCCCCAAGAGGTATCTCTTCCCAGAGACTGAAGTTGGCTATTCCCTCCAGGCCCCAGCTCCTGAGAGGCAGCTACTCCCAGAATGAGGTAATACTTGTGAAGAGTTTAGTCCAGTGTCTGGCGCACAGTAGGCCTATAATTGTGATTATTATCTTTCACCAAGCTATCCAGGGGGTATGATCTCAGAGACTGACCTTACTCATTCTCCCCAGGACTGAATTCTCTTTCTCTTTTTTTTTTTTTTTTGTCATGCAATATGTCATTGCTCAGCTTTGTGAAATCTGTCATTGATTATCCAACTCATTGATTTAAAAAAAAAATTAAACAGTACAAGGTGAATAAAGCACAAATTACTGAGACATTCAACCAAAGTCTTCCCTTTAAGTTGATATAGAATTATTAATGATTATTTTAATCCATTTAACCATATTATAGTCTAGTATACATCTCCATCTTAGCTTTCCTTGTCAGCCTTAATTCATTTTGAGCTTCAGTATTCTTTTTTTTAATATAAATTTATTTATTTTTAGCTTTCAACATTCACTCCCACAAGTTTTTGAATTCCAAATTTATACCCCATCTCCCCCCTCCTCCCACCCCAAGATGGCATGCATTCTGAATATCCCTTCCCCTAGTCTGTCCTCTCTTCTATCTCTCCCCCCTCCCTTCTCTTATCCCCTTCCCCTTCTATTTTCCTGTAGGGCAGGATAGACTTCTGTACCCCATTTCCTGTATTTCTTATTTCCCAGTAGCATGTGAAAACATTTCTTTTAAACATATGTTTTTAAAACTTTAGGTTTCAAATTTTCTCTCTTCCTCCCTCCCCACCCACCCTCATTGAAAAGGCAAGCAACTCAATATAGGTTGTACATGTGCAGTTTTGCAAAACACGTCTATAGTAGACATGTTGTGAAAAACTAACTCTATTTCCCTTAATCCTATGCTGCCCTCCCATTTATTCTATTCTTTCTTTTGACCCTGTCCCTCCTCAGAAGTATTTACTTCTGATTACTCCCTTTCCCAATCTGCCCTCCTCTCTATCATCCCCCTGTTCTCTGGTCCCCTTCTCCCCCTATTTTCCTGTAGGGTAAGACAGATTTCCATACCCAATTGAATGTGTATGTTATTCCCTCCTTAAGCAAATCCTATGAGAATAAGATTCACTCATTCCCTCTCACCTTCCCCCATTTCCCCTTCCACTGTAAGAGACTTTTCTTTTCTGTTTTTTTTTTTTGTGAGATAGTTTACCCCATTCTACCTCTCCCTTTCTTCTTCTCCGAGTATAATCCTCTCTCATCCCTTAATTTTATTCTCCAGATATGAACCCTTAATCTTCAACTCACCCTGTGCCCTCTATCTATCTATCTACGTATACATACATATAATTTTTTTCCTCCAACTACCCTAATACTGACAAAGGTCTCATGAGTTATAAATATCATCTTTCCATGCAGGAATGTAAACAGTTCAATCTTAATAAGTCTCTTATGATTTCTCTTTCCTGTTTAATCTCTTCATGTTCCACTTGAGTCCTGTATTTGAAAGTCAGATTTTCTATTCAGCTCTGGTCTTTTCATCAGGAATGCTTGAAAGTCCTCTATTTCACTGAATGACCATTTTTTCCCCTGAAGGATTATACTCAGTTTTGCTGGGTAGGTGATTCTTGGTTGTAATCCTATCTCCTTTGCCCTCCGGAATATTATATTCCATGCCCTGTGATCCTTTAATGTAGAAGCTGCTAAATCTTGGGTTATCTTGATTGTGTTTCCACAGTACTTGAACTGTTTCCTTCTGGCAGCTTGTAATATTTTCTCCTTGACCTGGGAACTCTGGAATTTGGCTATAATATTCGTAGGAGTTTTCCTTTGGGGATCTCTTTCAGGAGGATATCTGTGGATTCTTTCAATTTCTGTTTTGCCCTCTGGTTCTACTATATCAGGGCAGTTTTCCTTGATAATTTCTTGAAAGATGATGTCTAGGCTCTTTTTTTGATCATGGCTTTCAGATAGTCCAATAATTTTTAAATTCTCTCTCCTGGATCTATTTTCCAGGTCAGTTATTTTTCCAATGAGATATTTCACATTGTTCTCTAATTTTTCATTCTTTTGGATTTGTTCTACTGTGTTGTGATTTCTCATAAAGTCACTATCTTCCAATTGCTCTATCCTAATTTTTAAGGAAGTATTATCTTCAGTAAGCTTTTGGACTTCCTTTTCCATTTGCCCAGTTTTGCTTTTTAGGGCATTCTTCTCCTCATTGGCTTTTTGGACCTCTTTTGCCATTTGGGTTAGGCTATTTTTTAAGGTGTTATTTTCTTCAGTATGTTTTTGGGTCTCCTTTAGTAGGCTGTTGACTTGTTTTTTGTGATTTTCTTGCATCGCTCTCAGTTACTTGCTTCTCAAAATCCCTTTTGAGCTCTTCCAAGCCTGGGACTGATCCATATTTTTCTTGGAGGCTTTGGATGTAGGATCTTTGACTTTGTTGTCTTCTTCTGGTTGTATATTTTGATCTTCTTTTTCACCAAAGTAAGATTCTATGGTCTGACTCTTTTTGCGCTGCTTTCTCATGATCCCAGCCAGTTACTTGAGTTTTTCGCTTCCAATGTGGAGAATGTATTGTCCCAAGCTTCAGGGGTTTGTATAGCTGTTTTCAGAGATACTTGTAGGGACCTGTAAATTTTCACTTCTTCCAAGGTGGTATGATAAGGGGTGAGGTGTTTACTCCTTTCCTGGCCTGTGACCACAAGTATTCCTTTCTGTCCCGTAACTGTGAGGGAGGGTTCCTCTCCACAGCTACTCCAAGCTCTACTATGCCAGCATTCCTCCTCACCCCAGCACCACCGCCCAGAACTGTGACCCAGATCCAAACAGGGGCAAAGCAAGAGATTCCTGCCTCAGCACTGGCAAAGAGATCCCTGCAATCCCTCTCTGATCATCCACTGGATTCCCCCTCAGTCTGTGGGCCAGAAGCTTGGGACACAGCTGCCCCCCCCCAGGGCCACGCTCTTGGGGAATGGAGCTGAAACCCCACCTTCCTGTCTCAGCACCGACAGAAACAGACTTTTCCCACTGACCTTCTAAGTTGTCTTTGGCATTGGTGGATTGAGGAGTCTGGAAGCCACCAGAGCTGCCCGCGATTCAGTCCTCTGAGGCCTGCTCCAGGTTCTCTGCGGCCTGCGCGCCCACGCCACGCTGTGCTGTGCTCCCAGCCCGGCGTGATACACCTTTCAGATCAATCATCCAGGTTGTCTTGGGGTGGAAATTTGTTTCACTCTGTCTTTTTGTGGGTCCTGCTGCTTCAGAATTTGTTTAGAGCCATTTTTATGAGTATTTGGAGGGGTTTGGGGGAGAGCTCAAGCAAGTCACGGCTTTCACTCCGACATCTTGCCTCCCCCCCACCCCCACCCGGGACTGAATTCTCAAAGGGGTCTCGATCAGACTTAACCTTGGCGGTCCTCCCTCAGCCCTCACCCTCAGAGGTGTGTACCCAGAGTCTCTCCAAGTCTGAGGCCCTTCAGCCCCTTGACTGTCTCCTTCATAGTCCCACATTTGAGCTATTACTTGTGACTGTCTGTCCTGACTCCGTAATTCTCCCTTGAATTGTTATCTCAGAGTTCTTTCCTCCCAGATTAAACTGGACCATTCTCTCTAGGCCTGAGCTCTCCAGAATTTTCTCCTCCCAGAGTCTGACCTAGACCTTCTACCCAATTCCATGTTCCTTAGAGGCATCTCCTTTTGCACTGGTCCTGAACATTTCCTTAAGGACCATGGTCCAGAGAACAGTCTCTCCCTAGACTGAGCTTGCCCATTGGCCCTAGTACTCCCTAGATCCCAATATGAGGCTGTTCTGCTTCAGCCTTTTTCATATACCAAGATCCTGAAAAGCATCTCCAATCAGAGTCTGACCCTTATCACTCCCAAGTCTCCAGATGTCACTTCTCCTAGACTCATCTTGCTCTTTCTCCTTAGAATTGCATTCCTGGGAGAATTTTCTTATCAGATTAATTTTGGCCATAAGTCCTTGAGGAACCAAGCTGCAAGTCTGAGGTCTTCTTCTCTGTCTTCACCGTCTCCCCTGGCTGTCTTCT